CTATTAGATTCATATTTCGATAATAGGTGAAGAGCATTATTTCATTTTTGAATCATGTATTGATCTCAAACAAAATTTTTTTTTTCATTGAAAAAGTTCATTATTTAATTTCTGTTCTACTAAAAAGTGGAGTATAATCGAGATATATTTGAATAATGTTTCTTTTTGTTAAAAAAAAAGGAATATCTATTATTTAGCAGATATTGTGATTTTCTAAATCATATCCATATTTGTGAATAATTAAATGATTTAGACTAATTCTAGTGATCAAGTAAGGATTTTAATTGAGCACATGTTTTATATTAGATATAGTATGGTCCAATGCCATACTCAATAGATGTTTCATTCAACTATAGAACATTTTTTAATAACATTTTAATATCGAAATAGAAAAGTTACAAAGGTATTTTCCGTTGCAAGTGTGAATATTAGAAAGAAAAAACCTACAAACACTTTCACAATCATACGCACTCACCCACACACATCAAACGATAAAAAGTAATGACAAGGGTGAGTAATTACATGTCTGTCCCACTTATCTTTGAAGGAAAAAAACCCACGAGGAAACTAATCGAGCTTCTGTCATATAAATAAATCTAGGAGCTACATGCAAGCAATACAAAAAGAGTACTTAATCCAACAAGCAAAAGACAAACGTTATTGATTTTTGTCTTTCATTGCAAAACAAACACAGATACACTTGCTTTTAACAAACTACCGCGAATCTCAACAACTGCTATAATTAGAAATACGAGTAAATTTTCCCTATGTATCGTGAAAAGTCAAATATTGACAAAAACTTGTTAGGATAATTTCTGCAGGATTAAAATGTCAAATACGATGTAGCTCTTGTTGCTAATTACAGAGAAATTGTTTTATTGTATCTGTTTTGAGACATACTTCTTCACCATCCTTTTATGTGATCCTCGAGAAATTCAATAAGGTATTAGTTCATAAGGGTTCTTTTCTTCGATGCTCTCGCAGTAGTCTAATAATAGTTTAGAAATTTAGTGGCATACGTCACAAAAAGAAGAAGAGAAAATTTCACTTTTTAACCTCGACAATTCTTTTTGTACGAACCTGAAGTAAATCTTATTTTGCCCTTTCTTGCATTCTACCTTTGACAATCAATTGTAAGTGTAGATATATCGATCGTCTACTAACCCCCACCCAGTTTATTCATAGAGCTCATCGAGCTGTATCTGGCACACAACATCTCATGGTTGGCATAGACATCTGGGCGAATCACCCCCTGAGAAACTCGAATTAGGCGCTAACTTCACTTTCATTAAAATTTCTGTAGATTTCATAAGCTTGTTATTGGAAAGTTTCTATAACTCTTGGTATTTAGTATAAATAAACCGCATATCTGACGAGCTTTCATTTGTTATAAAATTCATTATCTCCTCTATTTGAAATTATAGGCATACTACCCTGCAAAAAAAATTTTGGCAACCCTGTAACTTGAGAGACTATGGATATAGTCGTATCGTTGACCTACTTTAAGTTTTCATCAATCGAAAAATGCTGTGTTACATGATACAGTAGATAAGAATGTTTTACTTTACTTAGACAAAAATAACCTAACAACTTGAATGTCAGCCTGGTTTCATTGTACTTGACTGTTTCGCTTTTATTGACTCTTTCTGGTCCGTTTTTCCAAACTTTCTCGATGAATGTCCTCATTAAGTTATTAACTTTTACAATTGCGAAAAATAGTTAATAAATTTTCTAATTAAATTCAAAAGAAAACCTTCTTCTCTTCTTATTTATTGTTGAAGAATAAACACTAAAAAGATCAAACTGTAGCATTAGCAACCTGCGACCTCTATAGAACTTCCCACTATGAACGATAAAGGATAAGAAGGAATAAATGAATAATGGCCGTCTAATGTGTGCATTACACAGTAAGACACGATGCCTTATGTCTTACAAGACTGTTCATCCTTCTAACGTCTACTCTAGATATAATTTAGACATGAGAACGATCTTTAAATACATAGATTGACGCGTCTTATTGTTTTTCGACACTTGAATTCAATAAATACTGATACTTCTTGCACATTATCACGATTGAATATGTGATTAGTCATTTAAACACAAAGAATCTAAATGTATTAAAAATACATGTCGTGAATAATATTTTTTGTATTGTACTTCTATAAACAATCGAATAAAAATCGTAGCTCGACATAAACATTCTTTGTCTTTGAATAACTAATCACATATCCAATCGTGATAATCTCTAAGAAGTATCAGTATTCATTGAATTCAAGTGTCGAAAAATAATAAGACCCGTCAATCTTTGTATATAAAGATATTTCTCATGTCTAAATTATATCTAGACTAGACGTCAGAAGGATGAACAGTCTTGTAAGACATACGGCATCCTTTTTACAGTGTTCTCAATACATTTCATTTATCTCAACTTTTTAGTGTTTATATATTGAATCTTTTTTTTTATTTATTAGAAAGAAAGATTTTTGAAAAGAAATCCGTTTTATTTACAACGTATTTCGGAAGAGTATATCAAATTCGAATGATTTCAATGAACCACAAGATCCATTAGAACGATTGAAACAAATCAACGAGGTACGATTTTTTTTTTGTCGTTTATAATCTCATTATCTTGGTATTTTTTAGCATCTGGTCAGTAATCCACAAGACCTTAATTTAATACAAGAAAAAAAAGGATATTGGTATTTAAGTTTGTTGTCTAAGAAAAAAATAATGCATTTTTTGTCAATTTAGAATGCAATGTTGATGGAAAATGATGAACGTTTTAATCAATACAAGACAGTTACTGATGTTCAGGTATGTAAAACAAACGTATTAGAATAATGACTAAACCTAATCGTATTTGTTTCATAGGTGCATATGCAGACAACAAAAAGTAATCCTGGTGAAATACATAAAAGTGGGTGCGGGTGGGTGT